CGCGGGCGGTCCGGACCCTCGCCGCCCCCTGGGGCATTCCCGCCCCGCCGGGCGGAGTTTGCGACGCGGGAGGGAGGGAGCACATGGGTAACCAGGGCAACCCGGAGGGGAAAACTTCTGCCTCAGTGGTGCAGATTTGGAGCCCGAGGACGGGAGGATCTCAGGCGATCTCGCCCGCGCGTTACAAAACCTTGTCAACGTTAGAGGCGGGGGTCTGAATGGGCAGCGGGATCGTGGCCGCTTTCTTTGAGTTTGGGGTTTATTTTAATTTCTCGGGTGCGGACATCACCCTTTTTCAAGTCCCTGCTTTCGCGCACCCCCTCACACCTGTGCATCGTGCCCCAATGTGTGCTCCGGGGACCGAGCGCACAGCGGCCACCTGGCAGCGTGAGCATGTAGGAAAGAAAGAAAGAAAAAGCAAGAAAGCTCGGAGGGCCCCGCCCAGCAGACCTCGGGGTGGGGCAGGGCGTCTGCCTCCTTCGCCGTGCTGAAGTCAGGAAGTCTGAGAAGACCCCTCGCGCCACATTAAGTGCTCAGCTTGGCGTCTGCTGCTCTTGGCCCCGCTGGAGACCTGCGCTTCCCAGCGTGGCTGGGCATTCCCCGCATACCTTATGAAAAACAGCTTTCCCCACGTCCCAGCCTCCCCACCCCATTAGGACCCGGCGTCTCCTCGGGCCGGCATCTCCTCGGTGGGTGCAGTTATGGCCCTGATGACAGAGTAATAACCCCAGGGGAAGGTGCTCGGGCCAGGGGATGGGCGGGGCACTGCTGACCTTTTACAAACAGCACCTCATTTAATTTGCTCTGCAACCCTCAAGAAAGAGAAATCAGTCTTCTCATTTTGCTTGAGAAAAACCCAAGCCCCAAGTCCCTGTGGGTGACAGCGAGAGGGTCCCAAGGATGGGGTAGGTCATCACTTGGGTATGTTCCACCCGCTAGAAGCAACATTATTTGGAAATAGAGCCCCCCTCAGCCTGGGTATCACTCCTGTCCATAATTAAGGAATCGCCAGCAATGCCCATCGCTCCGTTTGTCCCCTCCTTGTTTTCCTGTTACTTTCGTGGTAACTCTGGAGCTACGAGGGGCTGAGATTCACAACAGGAAAGGTGTCTTCCTCCCGTCCACCCATACGCAGGGACTTAGGACAGATCCCTCTTCCAGCGGACACAAAACATCTGCATGCTCGGCCCAGAGCCTCTCCGCATTTCTACACAGGATCTTCTTGTCTTAGGTCTGGGGAAAAGTGGTCACGATATGAACAGAAGTTTTCAAAAAATTTTATGTGTTATCTATGCAATTTTTAAGTGTGATGAAAATAAAATATTTTGTAATGTCTGCATGGAAAAACTATAAGTATTTTTTTTCTCCTGTTTCTCTCAAGTTTTTTTATAAACATGAGCTTTCTTATAATGTTTCTTATAATAAGCAAAAAATATAAGTAAAACTTAAGATTCTCATATTAAAGACCTATTAATTCTGTTACAGTAGTTAACTAACATTTATGTAATGCTTTGTAATATAGTGCCAGAAATTGTGGCACTTGTGCTTTGCAAATAATAACTTGCAAATAAGTGCTTTGCAAATATTAACTCTTGGTGTCGTTACTATAGAGAAATAATGTCCCTGTCCATAAGAATGAATTTTTGCTCTAAGTAACAGGAACCTGAAATGTGCTGGTCCAATAAAAAATCTGGAATTCATTGATACCAAGATAGAATAGAGGATCAAAGAAGGCAAGTCCAGATGAGGAGGGATCTTAGTATTTTCCTCATAGTTACAAGATGGCTGCAGAAGCCCTAACATCACACTTGCATTGAAAGCCAAAAGGAGAGAGCAATGCCAGCTCTTTCTGCTCCCTTTTCATCATGTATTCCAAACTTTTTCGTGAAACCCTTCTAGCAGCGTGCTGGAGGGGTGCACAGATGTGTAAGTGGCCGAGATTATCGGGACTAGTGGTTCTCATGGTGGTGGGGTATTTGGAAAGGTAAAGGATCGGTTTTCATAATGATCTTTCAGTTGGGACAGGAGAGGCTGCTGGTCCGTCCTGCAGATTGCAAGGCAGCCCTACATGTCTTGCAAAAAAATATCACTGGGGCCCACACTAGCCCTCACTTGGATCCGAGCGCACTGCGGGTAGAACAGAATCAGGCTTCTGTGTGCAAGAAAGAGGGAGGTGGACCGAGTATTGGGCCGACACTCAGCCTTGTCTGCCCTTTATCCCTGCCTCTCTTTTGGTTTGAGTTGTTGCTGAGTGCTGGGAATGAATTCGTGACTTTCCCTTTGTCCTGTGGAGTTTCAGGCAGCACGACGGTGCTGGTGGAGCTGACTCCCGACATCCACATCTGCGGCATCTGCAAGCAGCAGTTTAACAACCTGGACGCCTTCGTAGCCCACAAACAGAGTGGCTGCCAGCTGACCAGCACTTCCGGGGCAGCTCCCAGCACGGTCCAGTTTGTATCAGAGGAGACGGTGCCGGCCACCCAGACTCAGACCACTACCAGAACCATCACTTCCGAGACCCAAACGATCACAGGTACCGGCTTGGGGTTAGAGGTGGCCTGGCTGTAGCCCACACACCTCCGTGGAACTTGTTAAAATGCCTTCCCAGGGCCCGCCCCCTAGGGTTGCTGATCCCTTATTTTTAACAAGCTCCAGCGGGAAGCCAGCTGCCCAGCCAGGCCTGGGAGCTGCTAGGTTTCAACAGTGTTAGCCGTTCAAGGTGTTGTCACATGGGAAGCAAGACAGACAAAAACCAGGTTCCTAGAGCAAAATCTACTAAGAGAGACTGGCAGGAAAACCGTGGCAGTAAAACAAGAGGTTGTTTTGGATGGTGACAATATGTGTGAGACCCGAGTTTGCATTACTTGTGTGAATGAACAAAAGACAGGGTGATTTTTTTTTTTAATATACAAATAGGCACTGATAATGTCTTCCTTTTGCTGTTGACCAGGAAGACAGAAAAGCCTATCACATCCCTCTTGGTTGTGTCTGCTCAACCTATCAACATTGAGAGATTAAAAATTTAAATACACAAAATGAGGCCATAAAAGTTCTAGGATAAATGTACACACTCACACGCAAATACACACACACACACACACACACAGATACATGCCTATCTCCACACTCCCACACTTATACCCATATAATCTGTCTAAAGGGACCAGACAAAAAACTTTATAGAGGAAAGTATTTATGAGATACTGTAGTATATAAGAATGTAGGAAAATAGTGTCGAGTATCATAGGAAAATGGAGACATGTATTCCTTACTTAAAGGCATTCAAACTTAAATTTTAAAAATATATGGACGTACTTACTACCACAGAAGGCAGGTGGTAGACAGACTCCCCCCAAGGAAAAGAATCCTAATTGTGATCCCAGAGAGGGTTACATTTTTTCCAAAGCAAAAAAACAGAGTGGAAAAACCACCTTGGGGGGAAAATACAGCAGCTATGAGTAAGACCTAACATCCTTCCTATACTGTACAAAGAACTCCTAAAACCAGTAAAAGCAGAAAGAAGAACAAAGCGGTTAAGTCGTTCCAGGCAACAGGTGATACACAAGAGCCGCAGCGTATAAGAGGACATACTGTCACCTTGGTCATCAGAGAACTGCAAATTAAAATGAGGAGACATGCTGCCTTCATTCTCTGGGGATGTAAATTTGAATAACCTGGTCCACTCTGTGGCATCTTTCAAATTTTAAATTTCTGTTTTAACATTTACTTGCTAGTCCTACATCTGGATATTTATCCTATGAGCCTTCAAAACAAACCTAACAGGGTGCTCCTCTGCGGTGTCTGCCACAGAGCAAGTGAGGGCTCTGTTTCTGCCGTTTCCTGTGCTGAAACACCTTCCCACCTCTGCCCAGCTGGTGCCACCTTAGCCTCAAGACCTTGAGGTCCCTGACAGTCTGTGCACTTGGGCTGTAGCTTCATAGGACACCCTCTCCCTCTGTGCTCCCACGGCTGTGCTGAGCGCCTTTCGGTTTTCTGAAAGAGTTCCGCATCTTCCAGCCTCAGGGCCCTTGCAGGTGCTGTTCCTCCTGCCCAGAATCAGCTTGGCTCTCCATAACGGAGGGGCTCAGGTTAAAGATGTTTCCTCAGAGTCCACTGTTGACACCACACACACAGGTCCACATGTCACTTGCCTATAATCAGGTTATTAGAGATGCAGAGTTAGGTTTGTCCCCATCACTGCCTGATGGGTACCGTGAGGCCAAGGCCGAGCTCTCTTGTTGGCTGGCACCCACCAAGTGCCTAGAAGGGCCTGGCACGATGCATAGCCTGCTTCAGTGTCGCTCAGTGTCGCAGCCCCTGGGGAAGCGGCTTCCGCTTCACCCTCCAAGTCTGTTGCTCAGATGCCCTCCTCTTGTTTTTCCACTGCCCTGTTTGGTCTTCTGATGCCCACATTCTGCACACTGCCCTGCCCAATGGGATGAGCCCAAGGTCGGTCCTCTCGATGCCCTGCTAATGAGGTTTTCTCCTGCCCAGCAAGGAGGGAGACGCAAGCTCCAGAGCCAGGCTGCCGATTCACACCCCATCCCCTACCTGGTTGCCCCAGACTTTTCCTCTCCTCTCATTGAACCGTCATGCGTTATTATGAGGACTGTGTGATAACCCATGTGGCGGCCGGGTGGCAGTCTCACTTATGCATGGAGGCTGAGGAACAGGTGGGGAAGGGGTGATGCAGCCTGCCTGAGTGTCATCGCTGTGTGACTCAGCCACCTGATACTATGCAGGCCAAACAAGCAGAAACCTGCTTTCCTTTCCCTTTTACACCTGTGTGGTTTTCGGGGCCCAGCTTCCCCCGAGGTTTGGGTCTCACTGTTCTATTAGCTATCTGTTCCCAGACCTGTGTGTAGGCCAGCACCCCTAGGAGCTCGTTACAGACACCAGTGCCTGGGCTCCCCCTGCACAATGAGCTGTGGAGGTTGCAGCTCACAGCGTCCAGTTCTCACTGCCTGTGCACACTGACTTTTCCAGATCTCTTCATCATTTTCTAAGCTCGTTAGTCCTTGGTTCAGCCCAAGCCTTCCTCACTCACCTGCTATGTCTCCCTTCTGCCCAGTCCTAGTGGAGCATGAGGTAACATTTATTCTCTGCCCCCTAGCTTTGAAAGCTGCTCTTGTTTGGCCTGTGCTTTCAGAATTTTCACATATGAGAAGTAAGATTAGATGGTAATACATTGAAAAAAATTAGAGCTCTCATCCACTTGCAAAAGTTATAGGTTAAAATCATGGGACTTTGGGATCATGTCCCCGGGTTTTTGTTTGGTTTTGTTTGGTTTTTGTTTTTGTTTGGTTTTAGTCTGCATTTTTCACAGTACTGAGGTCAGAATCCAGGGCCTGTACAAGCTAGGCAAGTGCCCCACCACAGAGCTACATCCCGAGCCTGGTCTGTAAGTTTGAATCTTGCCTGATCCTTGGGAAGCATATGATGTCGCCAAACTATAAGAGCCCCCAGTGCCTTATTTTAAAGTGGGGACAAGAATAAGTAGAGAGACAATAGAGTTTGTTAACTAGAAGCCTGGGTTCCCAGGAGAGACTGCCTGGGATGGAATCTCGGGTACAACACTTGTGAGCCTCATGACCTTGGGCAGATGACTTACAGGCTGCAGTTCCACTTTCCCCACAGTGACACCAACAGTTTAGGGGAACTTTAATTTGGTTCATGGTTTTAGCGGATTTAGTCCATGGTTGGTGGTCTCCAAAGTAGACATAAACTGTGGTGGAAAGACATACTAGAGCACAGCTGCTTAGCTTAGTTCATAGCACTTGGGAAATAGAGCAAGGGACAGTGCCAAAGAGGAGAGACCCAGGAACCAGGTCTAGTATCTAAGGTCATCCTCTGTGACCTACCCAGAAGCACCCACAAGTATGCCTTACTGACGCCCTGGGCATTTCTTGACCCACTCAAGTTGATACATGATTAACAGTCACACACTGTGGAGAGAGGAGATTGCGGGGAACCCAGGAGCTGGCTGTGCTCTTCTGTTCCACATAAACAGTCTCACAGAATGCCAGCCTCAGGCCAGGCCACTTTGTGACCATATTGGGATGAGACCAAAATAGGACAGTCCCATAGCCACGTCCAAGTCCAGAAAGAAATGGGGCATCGTCAGTCTTCCCGGCTCCCCATTACTCTGAGTGATGGCTAGGTCTTCACTTATCAGAGCTTTAGATCATAGAAGTGCACTTGCCTCCCAGCAGCCCCTAATTCAAGCTTTCCTTGCCCTCCCCCAAAAGCATCTAACACGAGCCCTCAACCTACAGTAAGGTCTCCAGAATTCCATGGTATGAGGTCCCTCACTGCAGTGATGCATAAACTGATTCAACTACAGATGTGTCCTGATCACCTTTGGTCAGAGAACAGTGACACAGGGAAGGCCAGGCCACCTAACTGATTTTGAAAGCCTTCAGAAAGAATCGCAATGTTCATTCTGGCCATGAGCCCCAAATTAGTGAAGTCTAGTTCACTAAACTGTAACTCTCTCTGCAAGTAGGGAGCCAATGAATCTGTTTTCTGCCCACAGCATGAGGCCTGGTACATGTTAGGCCTGCAATAAAATCATTGAATGAGGGCAAGGAAGGGCTGCTGTCGGAAATCAATGGGTTAAAGTACAGAAAGCATTTGGACGTGGCACCTGCCCAATCACAGGGGCCCAGGAAAGGGAGTTTTGGGGTAACCGTGTGCCTGATGCTGGGGCTAAGATCACAGAGATGCCTGCCACTGGGGAAAATCAAGCCCTTTGGAGATAGAAGAGGATTTGGTCATGTGATGTACAAGCCCAGCTGTTTCTGACAAGTGCAGCATAAAGGTGCAAAGAATTCACAGTGCATCTGTCCCACCAGGAGAGCCAGAGGAAAAGAACTGTGAATGAGAACAAATATAGAATAGCCCTCAAAAGATGCATTAGCTTTTGGGAGGAAGTGGGTGGGAAGGGGCACTACCAGTGGGTTGGAGCAGTGGAGATGAATTACACAGAGCGTGTGGTAGGAACGGTGCTTTAGCTTTAGCTTTTCTCCTGAAAGTTGTTTAACATGTAATTCAGCAAGACAGTAAGAAGGATTGGGCAATAATAATGTATTGGTCAGCGTTTCAGTTGCTGGGACAAAATACCTGACTCAGACAACTTAAAAGAGGAGACATTTATGTGGTGCATGGTCCCAGAGGGTTCAGTCCATGGTTGGCTGGCTCCGAGGCAGGAGCATCATGGTGGAAGGCTGTGGTAGAAGAGAGCTGCTTACTTCATGGGGTCCAGGAAGCAGAGAGCAGGAGAAGAGCCAAAGAGGAAAGAGCAGGAACCAGATACGGTCCCCCGGACCACCATGCCCCTCCCAGACATGCCCAGAAGTGTGCTTTACAAATCTTGGAGGCATCTCAAGCCAGTCAAAATTGACAATCAAGGTTAACGCTCACAAAAAAAGATTAACTTTCACAAATAATAATAGCTAGTTCTTATGTATGTGCTGTGCATTTTTCTACGTATTTCATACAAAGACACTTTACATTGCCATACAGTAGGTACAA